TCTCTCATCTTTGTTGTTTTTTATTGGTAAAATTATTTGAAGAGATGTTTTAAGGGAGGCGATTTGAGGGTAAATATTGTGCTTTTGTGGATTACTCAAGGCGTGATCGGTTTGATACGTTTTTGACTTGTGAACTAGTATATCATGGTCACATCCATTCAACCTTCACAGATTTGCGGAGTAGGAAGCAGGGCCACCTGATTACCTGTTGCTCGATGCGATTCACTGCTATCCAATAGGAGCGAGGGTTGGGCTCTGGCACATTTTTACTGGTTACTTTTGCTTCAATCACAGAAGAGTGTGGAGAGCGTTATTCCCCCTTCTTATCGAACACTCAATAGTGCTTGTCAAGTTGAGAGAACAAAAGCCACTGAAAAAATAACATTAGAAATCGGATTGCCACAAAGACAGTTGCTTGGACTTTTCAATCAAGGGGGATGTGTTTCTGTTTGATGCCTTGGTGAAGTAATAAGAGCATTGGTGTTGCGTAGGCTACCTCCCCACGAAGTTCACAAAAATCAAGTGGATTTCTAAGCGAACTTAGTACTAAAGAAAAAATTATAAATGCACTCATTTCATAGATACTAAGGTGGTGGCTAAAGTTACAAATTGGGACGGTCATGTGGTGCCTTGGAGTGGTTGTTAAGCGTAGCGTTTTAGTTCATGACCTCTGTTGTGTTTGGAGTTTGGCCAAAATGAACAAAGTGGTTATTGCATTGTTAGTTACTCTAGCCCAGTGTCTGAGACTTATCCAAGGTTCAAAGGAGACATTACTCGAAGAAGACCTATGCATTGAGTTTGTGGCAGGACCCAGGGACCAGCGAGACTGACATGGAGTACGCAGTCGTTTCCTCTACCAAAAGTAAAAATCAGCTCGGCATACGGCACCAGCTTCCCCACCAGCTATTACCGTGTACTCAGTTTGGAGACTTGGAGGTTGGGAAGGTTAGAAGGTGATTCCGCGTCTCAAGGCTGCTCAATCGTGTGTTTTCTGACCAGAGGTAGGCGTAAATTTCAGCATTTCTTGAGGATCATCACGAATTACTTCACCCTCGACTCGTGCACTTCTCCTCCGGCGGCTTATCATCCAACAGGAGAAATTAGCACAGGTCAGGGCTACCAACGGGATTCGAGGATTAGCTCATCCAGGTAAGGTACGATGATGAAGACCCATAGTTAGTAAAAAGTTCCAATGTGCGTAGTCTGGGGTTCGCAGAACCCAAAGCAGATTCTACCGAAGATATTCTGCACTAAACGGTGACAGTGTTAAAAAAGGGAAACAAATTCGATTCAAAACATGACAATGTACATTGCTCTAGGCGAGTGTCATTTTGAACCATCTGGAGGCTGCAAGACGGAGAGCTGAATGACGAAAAGTATAGGATTGGCGCAAAGAGCCACTAATCAACTACCAGACGCATGGACAGTCGGCGAAGATTCGCGATTGGCAGAAATCTCGTCAGCCCTCTCCCGAAAAACAGCTGATCACCACGTGGTTGCATGCGCTTCCACTGCGCAACCGGCCCTATTCAACCATCACTCACCTTAATTCTGGCTCCAGCCCAAAGTACTTTTATTTAGAGGCATAAGAAGGATTTGCGTCTATGATGCGTCCACTTTTAGCTTAAGTCGTGGATGGGGTGACAACTACATCAAAGAAGTACTTTTTATTTAAAAAGTCCTAATTACACGTATTTTCTCATATACTATCCATAATCCTAGTCAAGCGCATCTTCGCTGATGAATCTTACTAGCAAATTAACGTTCTGTATTTAACTTAGACTAAAGCAAACGTAAGCCAACAGATGCTCTCGTAGAGCGCCCAGTTCGCGCAAAAACTTGGCGTAACCGCCAAAGGCTGAATCGATTGGCTGAGGACTGTCTCTCACTGATTGGTCAGAGGGCCGTATTTGCGGTTCATTGGCTGTTGGAACAAGGTATTGGAGCCTGTGCCATTAGAATTTTTACAGAGAGCGGATAGATGTTCGCACACTGTAGTGACTTGCTAAACCACCCTCAGGTCACACAACTTCCGCTGGCCTAAACTGCACATTTTGGAGATTTGTGCTTTTCTCGCAACACAATGTGCGTTGGAACTGGTTTTGTAAATGTATGTAATTCCAAACAAACTAATATAGACAAATT